TATAAGGAAATAAAAATGCTTATTAAAAATATGGACTTTTCCCATAAGAACATCAGTTCTTTTAGATGATGTAAAGGCATTTTTATAATAGTACTAAAATTTGTAGCAGTTTAAACTAAAATAAGATTTTGATATGAAAATTATTACTTTTATTGTCTACAGCTTCAGATTCATTGCCACTATATTAGTTTGCCTCTAGCTATGACCTAGATTTTCATTTATTTTTATGCTTTATTGTTTTTTAATCTTATAGCAAAATGCTAAATTTTTAAAAAAATAGCATCCAAGATTTTTATGTCAATCATACTAGAAAAAATTTGAGTTTTAATGAATATAAATTTGGGGTAGTAACTCTAAGACATGAACATGCTTGATATATTCAACAATAGCAAGAAGACAGGATGATTGGAGCAAAGTGAGGGAGGGAGGAGGTGAGTGTAGGAGGTAACAGAAGATAACCAAGGGGAAAGACACGGTTGTAGACAGAGGTCTTTGGATTTTATTACACATGTGATAGATGGGGGAAGAGCTTGGAGTGACATGATCTTAATTAAATTACATTTTCAAAGACTCACTCTCTTATGAGATGAGCAAGACCGGAATCAGGTTGGTGACAATGGGAGACTGAGGAAGGTCATTTTGTGCTAAATGGTAAGGTATGCTCAGATTCTTGTGTTATATCTGTATAGCTATACATAGCTATATCAATGTAGCTAACTATAGATATACCATTCACCCAATTTTACCTGTCACTAATATTATATTCTATCTAATTTATCATTTATATTTATCTCCCTAAATATATATATGTGCACTTGTGGTTCTTTACATTATTGGAAGGTAAGTTACATTCAATACACACCATGAGCCTTTATTTCTAAATTATTCAATTCATATTTCCATATTTCCTAAGAATAGGATCATCTCTTACATGACTATAGTACAATTAATAACTTCATTAAATTTAACATTGATTATATATACATATATATATATATATATATATATATATATATTTTTTTTTTTTTTTTTTTTTTTTTTTTTTGGTGAGAGTGTACTGGGGATTGAACTCATGGGTGCTCAACCACTGAGCCACATCTCCAGCCCTTTCTTTACATTGTATTTAGATACAGGGTCTTGATGAGTTGCTTAGGGCCTCACTAAGTGGCTGAGGCTGGCTTTGAACTCTCAATCCTCTTGCCTCAACCTCCCAAGCCATTAGGATTACAGACGTGTACCACGGCACCAGGCTTAAAATTATTTGTATTTCAGTCTTGTCAGTAAGCCGGTAATGTCCTTTAAACAATCCAGTTCATTTATTTTCCATGTTGCTTTAGACTCCTTTTATATAGAACATTTCAACAAACTTCTTTTGTCTTTCTTTTTGATATACTATTAGAGCCAGCTGACACAACCATGTCCTTGTACAAATGGGTTTCAAGTGGGTTTCGAGGGAACTAAGGATGATGAAAACATTTTTAGCTTGAGAAACTGAACTGAGAAACTCATTTATTGTGATTATTGATATAGCAAAGATGAGAAACAATTTTTAAGAATAGAAATCACTAAGTTAGTCACTCTTTTTGAAAGAGAATTATATTGCTCACTGATATCTAGTTCTCCTCTCCTGAAAATACTGTGGAATTATACTTCCCCATGACCTCACAGCTCTCTGGCACTATGGGATCAGTTCTGCATCATGGGTTGTGAACTTCAGTAATGCAGCTGCCCTGGAGAATCTTCCAAACCAACAGCTGACTTTGCACCAGCAAATAAACATATCTTCCACTGAGATGTGGGGGTTGATGGAAACCTAGCCTACCCCAACGCATCATTAGATATTGAAGTAGAAATATGGACATAATATCCCAGATTTGGGTCCAGGTTACAGCTGGAATATTTGGGATATAAATGATATTTGGAATCATGAGACCCTAGCAAGTATAGATATAAATAATTGATTAATAGGTGATGACAGATGAATAGATAGACAGACCAGTCCCCAACCACATGCCATAGATGATTGATCCAGGAAAAGGTAGCTAACTTAAGCCAGCCACTCAAGGTTTTCTCCCAGATTTTTCAAGCTAGCACTAAGAAAATAGAGTCAATCTCTCTTAGGTGGTTGGAATCATAGGCTATAATTTATGAGGATCAAGAACTATTAGATATCATATTCCAAATTATTTGCAGTGATTGGTTTATGAAGTACCATCAGAGGAATGAGGGAAATAGAACTGGGCAGGAAAAGAAAGTTAAGCATCAGTCTGGTCCCACGGGGAGCTCAAAAACATGACTTGCAACACAGTGTGGGTCTTACCTTGAGATGCAGTGGCTATATTTTGGTATATAAGTGGCCACTGGTCATCCTTCAGGTAGTGTGACTAGGTAACCTCCTAGGTGTGGCAACTGCACTCAAGTGATAATTCTTCACAGAAAGGAGCATCTGGGAGTCCTTAGCAGCCAAAACTCAATGTCTGGGGATGGATATATATGCCTAAGAAAGATTTTCTGAGCAGGGCATCAACACATTCACTACACTTTTATTATAGTAGTGTATATTAACCTGATATCTAGGCATAAACTGAGAAGAGAATTTGGCCAGCACACAAGTAGATAAAAAGTCAGTGGTAAGTATTATACATTGTCTATTTGAAGATGAGTGTTAAAAAAAATCGACAAAAGGTTTATGAAGGAAATTTCAGAATAAAATGGAAAATATTAAATTGAATAAATAATAGATCATGGAAAACTACTACATACAAAAAAATCTGAGGGGCTAACGATATAGCTCAGTGGTAGAGTACTTGCCTAGCATGCACAAAGCTCTGGATTCAAATCCCAAGTACTACAAAACAAAAACAAAAACAAACTGAATATTTTTTAAGATTTTATATATATATATATATATATATATATATATATATATATTATAAAATTAATTGATTGATATGAATGAAAACATTTTATATTTACAGTTGTATAATCATCACTACAGTCTAATTTTAGAATATTTCCATGATTAAAATAATAAATTCTATGCCCAGCTACTTCTATCTCCATCACCCCCATCACTAGTACTATATAAGTATGTTGTATCATGTATTAGTATTTTTATTGCCTTTTATTGATGAACAATTTTTATTATTACACTAGCCCATCCATCAGTTGATAGACATTTGAGTTGCTTTCATTTTTGGTTACTTTGAATGATACTGTTATGAACATTCATGTACAAGTCTGTATGTGGATATATGTTTTCATTTCTCCTGAATATACCCTTATAAATGGAATTACTGAGACATGTTAACTCTGTTTCACTTCTCGAGGAATAGCCAAACTGTTTTGCAAAGCAACTGCTTAATTTTTTATTGTAACTAGCAGTGTATGAGGGTTCCAATTTCTCCAAATCTTCAAACATGTATTATATGACTGTTTTATTCTGCCCACTCTTTTATTCTTGTGGACAAGAAATAGAATCTCATTTGATTGCCTTTACCTGAAAACTAGTGTTATGGTTTAGATATGAGGTGTCCCACAGAAGTTCATGTATGAGACAATGCAAGAAATTTTAGAGATGGAATAATTGAGTTATGAGAGTTTTAACTTAATCAGTGCATTAATCTGCTGATAGAGAAGAGTTGAGTGGTAACTGTTGTCAGGCAGGTTATGGCTGGAGAAGATAGGTCATTGGGGGTATACTTTGGGGGTTCATATTTTGTTCCTGGTGAGAGGAAATCTCTCTCTCTCTCTCTCTCTCATTTTCTACTTCCTTATTGTAATGTTCTCAGCTGTTTTTCTCTACCACACCCCTTTCTGCCATGATGTTCTGCCTCACCATGGGCAAAGCATCCAAGTCAGCTGAGTGTGACTGAAATTGTGAGTGCCAAATACATTTTTAATTCACCAAAATTGTTCTTTTTGGATCTTTTGATCACCTTGGCAAAATACTGACTAAAGCAATAGTGATGTTATTTTTGTGTGCATATTGGCTATGTGTGTACTTTCTTTGCAGAAATGTCTATTAAGATCTACATTAGTATAGGATTCTCTAAGAAACAGAACCCATGTAAAGGAATTGGCTCACATTATTATGGAAACCGGGCTATTTGGAGTCAGGACAGACAATGGTAAACTTCCAGTCTAAGACCAAAGGCCTAAGAAGAAAGAAAGTCAGTGGTAAAATTCAAATATAAGTCTGAGTCAGAAGGCAGAGAGGATCAATGTAGCTCAAAACAAGCAGAAAGAAAGACCCAGGAGAGACAGAGGTACAATTCCATTCAAACCCCAAAGGCCTGAGAATCAGAGAAGATGATGATATAAATCCCAGTTCAATGTAGGAGAGAATGAGAAAGATACCCTGGTTAACACTAAGACAGAATTTTTGAAAAGGAGAGGGTCTTCCTCCCTCTGCCTTTGTTTTATTCAGATCCTTGATGTATTGAATGTTGCCCACTCAAATTGGAGATAGCATTCTGCTTTACTGAGTTCACCAACTCAAATAGGAAACACCATTTCATATTTACCCACTATTAATGTTTAATCTGGGCACTCCATTGTCCAGTCAAATTGACATAAAAATTGACACTGCCTGTTGGGGTTTAAGTGTGCAGAGTTTAGCTCCCTCAGGCCTGACATTTTGCAAGAGCTGTGGCTGTGATTTAGGTCAGCTGAGGCAAACCTCAGCTAGGAGGAGGAAAAGTTCTCTTCCCCTTATCGCAAGGCACAAGTTCTGCATGGTTTGGCCAAGAGGAAGAAGCTTCCTGCATACTTATCCTGGGAACAGTACATTCTGAAGAAACAAATGCATCCTCAGAGGAGTAGATAATGTCTACAAAGAACTTTAGGAGGGTACTTATCAAACAAACAGGAACAATTTGAATCTAGCTCTGTGTATCCGCTGAGGCATGATATTTGGACAATGTGGGTAAAGTGTTATTGAAGAATTGCTTGCTTTGTTAGAAGAAGTGTATAAAAGGAACTTGCAAATAAACCTCAGCATGCAGTTGCGATTGCTGCCTTGGCTCTGCATCCCCTGTGTCCCGGTTATTTCGTGTCCCTTACCCAGGGACCCGAACGCTCTAGATGTTCACAATTGGCGCCGGAATAGGGACCCTGTTGGATTGTCAGGAAGGGTAAGTTATTTTTCTTTATATTACAGGGTGATGGGACAATCTTCATCTTCTCCTTTTTTACGTATTCTTAGGCATTCACTTGCTGTCTATGGTATTAACATTTCCCATTCTGATATAGAGATGTGTCTTAAGGTGGTCAGGGAATGGAATCCCTGGTTCCCGGAGGAAGGATCTATGGATGCAGATAATTGGAAACGTCATAATGTTGAAAAGGCCATGAGGCAAGGTGAAAAAATTCCAATTCGGTTTTGGTCTATCTGGTCTATTTTATATACAATGTTTAAAGCTATGGAGGAAGAAAGGTTAATTGGCAACTTACAAAAGGAGCTAGCTCCCTCTATTCTATATCTCCCTCTGGATGTTAGTGAAAAAGAAGAGGTAGTAAAAGATACGCAACAATTGACTCATAATTCTTCACAAAATTCTGCTGATTTAATTGGTACTGCTACGGAAAAGAAAACGAAACTAAAAACGATGATTGATGATCGCTCCGTTTCGGAGCAATTCAAACTTGTTATGGAGGAGGTTTTGGGACGTCTTAATAAATTAGAAGCTAAAATGGACCCTAAGCCTTTATCGGGAACCAGGCCCTCTGCCCCTCCGGCCACCAATCCTTTTTTGGCAGCTTCTTTAAAGGCTGTCCAGGAAATGGACTCAGAACCTTCTGACGATGAGGACGAAACTCCTTTCTTTGCTTTTCCTATAATCAGGCCTGATCCAGTTAATGGAATGGCACATCCACCTCGGTATGAGGGGATTGATATTGATCATATTAGCAGATTAAAAAAGGCAGTGACAATGTACAGACCTCAATCTCATTATGTAAAAGCATTGCTTAATGCTTTTGCTACTCATTACAATAATTTTGCTCCTGAGGATTGGAAGATTGTGAGCCATGCTCTTCTACAGGAACCTAAATATCTTCAATGGCACATGTGGTTTTTAGAAGGATGTGCCACTAAGGCTAGAGAAAATGGTAACAGTCAAAACCCTGTTATTCGTGCCATAGGATACCCTATGTTATCTGGCACTGGTATGTATGATGACATTCAACATCAAATTAATATTCCTCCTGAGATTCATGAGCAATTGAAGGAAATAGCTTTAGAAGCTTGGGACAAAATTAGACCTACTGGAGAACATTATGGCTCATGGACAAAAGTTTCACAAAAGCCCAATAAACCTTATGTAGAATTTTTGTCTAGATTAAAATTGACAATTGAACGAACTGTGGTAGGAGAGGCTACCAGGCAACAATTACTACGTTTGCTGGCTTATGAAAATGCTACAAATAGTGTTGGCTGAATATACCGGAGGTATTTCCTATCATTTCCCCAAGGGCAAATTATGGGACATGCTAAAACGTCAACAATTTGTAATCAATAATATTATTAGTGAATATCCTTTAGACAATGTTGTTACTGTGTTTACTGATGGATCAAAAACTAAAAGTGCTTATTGGACAGAGAATCAATATTGGGTTCAAATAACAAACTATCAATCTGTTCAACAAAATGAATTATTTGCAGTCATTCAAGTTTTAAATGATTTTGATAATCAAGACATTAACATTCTTACTGGGAGTAGTTAAAAATATATTTACTGCAGTAGCTTATTCTAATAAACCTACTCTACAAAATCTTTTTCATACTTTACAAAAACTTTTACAAGCTCGTAATGCTCGCATATTTATAGATCATATTAGATCACACTCTAAATTACCAGGATTTTTGACGTATGGTAATGCTCAGGTAGACAAATTAGTGATGTTCAAAACTCCTCAAGAAGAACATAATCTGTTTCATTCTAATGCCGGACATTTACACATTAAATATAAGATTCCATATAAACAAGCAAAACAAATTATTAAAAATTGCCCAGTTTGTCGACCTTTACATCTTAGGATTGTACCTTCTGGAGTAAATCCTAGAGGGATTCAACCTAATGAATTATGGCAAATGGATGTTACACATGTTCCCTTGTTTGGACGTTATTCTTGTGTTCATGTTACTATTGACACATACTCTAAATTTTTGTGGGCTACCGCTCAAATTGGAGAAACCACCCGTCATGTTATTCAACACTTAGTGGAAACATTTGCTATTATGGGAATTCCCGCTATGATTAAAACTGATAATGGTCCAGCTTATACTAGTAAAAATTTTAAAGATTTTTGCAAATTATATGATATTGTTCATCTAACCGGAATAGAATATAATCCACAAGGACAAGCTTTAGTAGAACGTGTACATGCTACGCTTAAAACACAAATTAAAAAAATTAAAAAGGAGGAAAGGGCTATGCTTATGTTTCAACAGAAAATGGACACCGGCAGTGGCTCCCAGGGTGGTGGATCCAGACCCGTCACAATCAGAATGGCACCAAGGGGGGCACCCTATCCACTACCCCAGCCGAGGAATCAAGATCCTGAGCTTGATGTTTCAGTGGCAGCAATGGCGCGTCTTCATCTTGGGGCCCGACGTCATCGATGTCTTAATTTCTCTCCCTTACCTACGTGGGGTCAAATTAAAAAGCTGAGTGGGGAAGGGCAGAAGGTGCTGCAACGAACAGGGAAGAATTGCACCCCAGAAAATTTATTTCTGGCTATGTGTGCATTATTGACAGTGTCTTCCGCTTCTGAGGTACAAAATAATAATACTCACTATTGGGCCTATATTCCCAATCCACCTTTGCTGGAACCTGTTACTTGGGGTGACATGGATATTACCTTATATACTTCTCCTGCTCTATTATCTCCCCCTTGGAACAATTTAACATATATGAATATTAATGATGGAACACCATTATTAATGATGGAACACCATTTAATTTTACTTATAAGAATAATAACAGTAAACCTATATGCTTGGGTGTTCCTCCTTGCTTGCAATTAGATTGGCAACATTGGATACTAGTTGGAAATTGGAGTAATAGTTCTCGAACACGTTTACAACGGTTGTCTGCATGGTCCGTCAATATGACCTGGGATAATATAACTGAATAAAAATATCCTATGTTCCCTGAGTGCCCCGATTTTACTTATCAGGACTTAAGATACTCCCCTTTCATATGGCAGGAATGTTTAGGAAAATTTGGGAAGATATTTCAGAATATTATCATGTGGGGTCCTTACGGGATGTTCTTAAAAAATTGTTCAGAATGGAATATTACTGCTTGTGATTTATCTTCTACATACAGAATCCTGCCGAAAGAGAGATGGAATGAAACCATTCAGAACGACAAATTGATGGCCTGGGGTGATGGTGGAATTGCTGATCCACGCTTGGCTTCAGTGCAGTACCCTCATCATTTACAAACACATTTATGGAAAATTGCTGCTGCAACTAAACCTGTAACTTTGTCTAATGGCTCTTTCTCTGGGACTAGTCAATCAGCTGCTTCTTATAATTTTACTGTATTTAAAGAATATAATATAACCACATGTGTGCCCATGCCATACCTGTTCTTAATTGGAAATGTTACTTTTGATGAGGGAATTTTATGCTTTAATTGTAAATTGTATACCTGTATTAATACATCTGTTTCTATTCCTCCTGGTTATTCCATTGTGCTGTTACAACAGCGCTCTCACATTTGGCTTCCTGTAAATTTATGAAGACCATGGTCCCAAGATCCTGTAAATACTTTGGTTCTGGAATTTTTTAGACAATTGTTAAAACGTACTAAACTGTTTGTGGGAGTTGTTGTTGCTGTAATTCTAAGTCTTATTGCAGTGACTACAGTTGCTACAGTTTCAGGGATAGCTTTACATACTTCTTTACAAACAAAACAGTTTGTTGAGGAATGGCATAAAGATTCGCATGAGTTATGGCTATCCCAGACTCAAATTGATTCTAGACTTCAAACTCAAATAGATATTTTAAAACAGACAGTTAATTGGTTAGGAAAAAAGATACTCACCTTAGAACAAGAAATTAGATTAAAATGTGACTGGAATTCAACTTCTTTCTGTATAACTAATATACAATATAATCAAAGCTTACACGAATGGAGTATCATACAAAATTATCTCGATGGTAATGATACAGCTCAATTAATGATTGATTCTTTACAAAAGGATGTATTTGAAACTTTTGGAAAAGGGTTTCAACATGATGATGCTGCACAAATAGCTGAATTGTTTTTAAAACAGTTAGAGGGATTAGATCCCAAAGGAATTGCTCAAAGTCTTACCCATATGGCTGGAGGAGTGGGAATAGTGTTATGCTTAGTTATTATCCTGTTTATAATTATATATTGTATGTGCATAAGACCATCTCAAAATGCTATATTAACTTTGTGGAAAGCTGTTTTAGAAAAGCAAAAGAAAAAAGAAGGAATTGTTGGGGTTTAAGTGTGCAGAGTTTAGCTCCCTCAGGCCTGACATTTTGCAAGAGCTGTGGCTGTGATTTAGGTCAGCTGAGGCAAACCTCAGCTAGGAGGAGGAAAAGTTCTCTTCCCCTTATCGCAAGGCACAAGTTCTGCATGGTTTGGCCAAGAGGAAGAAGCTTCCTGCATACTTATCCTGGGAACAGTACATTCTGAAGAAACAAATGCATCCTCAGAGGAGTAGATAATGTCTACAAAGAACTTTAGGAGGGTACTTATCAAACAAACAGGAACAATTTGAATCTAGCTCTGTGTATCCGCTGAGGCATGATATTTGGACAATGTGGGTAAAGTGTTATTGAAGAATTGCTTGCTTTGTTAGAAGAAGTGTATAAAAGGAACTTGCAAATAAACCTCAGCATGCAGTTGCGATTGCTGCCTTGGCTCTGCATCCCCTGTGTCCCGGTTATTTCGTGACCCTTACCCAGGGACCCGAACGCTCTAGACGTTCACAACTGCCCATGTCCAGTGTAGGTGGTGGGAATGGCGTTCCCCTCGGTGGAATGGGCTCATTGAGAAATAAAAGCTAAAAGAAATAAAACGGCGAAAAACCACAGAACACAGAAAGTAGTTTCAAAAGCCAGGACAGGACAGGCAAGTTTACCAGACATATACAACTTCTAACACATAGGAGCCCACTCCTCCTTTGTTTATGCCTCCTTTATTTATATCAGGAGATATCAAAGAGATTCTATAGAATGTTCTTAACCAAAACAGGTTAAGTTCAGTTCCTAATGGTGGGTTACGCCCATCTCTGGTGCTATTATGTTCAGTTCCTAATGGGTTAATGCCCATCTCCAGTGCTAATATGAGGGACCTTTCTAGTAGAGCAGAGAAGAGGGTCTCTTGCATTGGGTAGTCTGTCACCACAGGAAATTCCCAATGCCAGGCCTATCCCTGCCTGGCTTCCATGCGGAGGGAAGGTCCTCATGTATTTCACGGATGGCTCCCCACAAACCACAGCAAGGGTGTCTACATTGTTGGGTTATTGTTAATTTTCATCTTAAGGATGTATGACTAAAACACTTGCTTCCTTATTCAAAGCATGTAATGAGAGCTTTCATGCACACTTATGCTCTTGAGAGTAATTTGCTAATGGGATAGAAGGTGAGTACTGTTTGAATAAATCTTTATTTGGAGTTAGGGTCATTCAATAATACAATAAGTAGCACAAGATTCCAAGCTCTGGGTTTGATTGAAATTTCACTTAGATTTAATAAAGTGCAAGCACAACACGTTGATAGATTTCTAAGTAGTCTAATTACTCTAAGTTTTCTGTTCTGACTCATTTTAAATCTTGCATCCAATATCTTCACTTAGATAAGGACACCTCTCTCAGATTCTGAAATAGTGTTCACTAAAGAGTACTATGAGAAAACCTAAGACAATTTGGTTTAACTTGGCAAACTTTTTTTTATACATACTCTAAGTTTGGCACTGTATAAATCACTGATAAAAAAAAAATAACCACAAATGCCGCAATCTGGCTGGGCACAAAATAACCGAGCCGCCACAAGGCACTTGTAGGTTCAAACAGGAACTACTTTATTGCCCGAACTCTCACCTGCACTCCACGCGTGCTTCCCGGGAACTCTCTCCGCTCTCCACCGAGCTCCGCAAGAACTCAACGGGAACTCCACGAGAACTCAAAAGTAGCGGGCACCCGAGGCAGCAGGAGCAGCCCTATTGCCAAAGCCGACCTATTGCCGGACAGTAGGGTTCTATATACAACTGAATACACAGCCTTCTTCAATCCAGCATCATCCAATCATAGCAATTATACACAGCTTAACTTAATTGTCATCATCTTAATGGCTGGCGTCACCCCTCAACCACTCCTTCTGGCAAAATGCTAGGCGCCATCCTGACTCGGCTGTGGCTCTCAACGCACAAAGATTAATAAACTAGACTTTAGTCTTGAAGTGACTGTAATCTAAGGCAGTGTTCCCTTCAATATTAGCATGTATCAGAATTAACAGGGATATTGTTATAAATGTAGGATCTGGACCCATTCTCAGAGACTCTGATTCTTTAGTACTTTCAGGTTAATGTGAAGTAGAAGTCTCTTTTTGGAGACATTTATCTAGAGGCCAAGCATAGAACTAGTATTTCAATATAACATCAAAGCATTATTTGAGAAATTGTTAAAAATCATAGACTTTGGACCCTAGAAGATCAGTATTTGAATCTAGCACCAGTACATACTACTAATGTGACAACAAATACGTTATTTAATTTTTTCTCTATCTTTATTCTTCATTACATTTGTGATATATAAAGTCAATGAGTTAACAAGTTTAAAAGAATAAACTGCAGCTACCATTTTATTAAATTTGTTTTACCATTGTATTAAAAAGTCTCCTTTCAATAAAGAATCTGAAGTGTTAGTATAGGCAAACAGAAAAATGGAGATTTAGAGCTTACCTGAAAGAAGAAAGAGATTTACAGAAGCATCTGATGAAGAAGCTTTGTTATTCTGTTCTCTGTTGCCAATAACACAATACCACAGACTAGGTGAGTTATAAAGAAAAGAAGTTTGTATTGGCTCATAGTTTAGAGGTCTAAAATGGAAGAGCCATATGTGATGATGGTCTTTTTGCTGGCAGAGTCCCAAGGTGATATAGGATATTGCATGGCAATAGATGGGTAACATATGCAGATGTGTATCTCTTCTGGCCTCTCTCCAAAGCCACCAGGATTCAATCATAGGGGCTCTACTATAATGATTTTATATAATCCTGATAATCTCTCAAAGGCCTCACTTCTAAATATTATAGCCAGATTAAGTTTCTACCCTCTTAATATCTGACACAGGATTAAACTTCAACATGAAGCCTTGGGGCACATACTCAAAAACCATATCCAAACCATTGCACAAAGTTATGAGATATTATTCTCATGATGCCGTGCACTCTAAGAGGCATGTAATAGACTGAATGGCGGCCTTCATGACCATATTAAAATCCCTGGACCTGTGAATATTGCTTTAAATGGCAAAAGATGTGATTAAGGTAAGAATCCTGAGAAAGGGAGTTTATCCTGGATTATCTGAGTGGTCCCTAATGATATCATGTGCTCTCCTACAAATATGAGGCAGAAAGAGTTTTGAGACATAAAAGAAGGCAATGTGGCCACAGAGCCAGAGATTGTAGTGACATGACCACCAGAAGGTGGAAGAGACAAGGAACATAATCTCCATTACAGATATTGGCAGAAGTATTGCTCTGTTAACATCTTGATTTCAGACTTCTGGCCTCCCGAACTATGAGAGAATAAACTTCCATTGCTTTAAGTCACAGTTTGTGATTTATCACAGTAGCCATAGGAAACAAATAAAAACACTAGTTCTGCTGTGAATATGGGGATTGTTTTCTAAGCTGAAATAAACATAAGTGGGGGAAAAAAGATCCCAGCCAGTTACTACTATATGTAAAAGATCAATCAAACATGAAATACAATGATTTTTCCCCCTATGAACTCTATAATGTTAACAAAACATAAATTGTGGCCAGGGAGAGAGGTAATAAATTAAATCAGAGATGCATACAAGTGCAATTAGGTTTGGCTAAGGAGCCAAATTTTTTTTTCTATACCTTTGATATCAACATCACCTCAGAACTTTTTAGAAATGCAGACTTGAGGGACACAGTCCATTTTACTCCATTAGAAATCTGCATTATAACAATATTTTTGTGTCATTTCATACACTCCAAAGTTTGATAAGCTTGTCTTAGGGAGTTGCTACTAACAATTTTTGGAAGATTTAAAGCAGAGAAGTGATAAATTGGTATTTGCAGTTTAGATTGATATCATTTAGATGTGAGATGTCCCCCAAAAGCTAATGTGTTAAGACACTGCAAGAAAGTTTAGAGGTGAAATGATTAGGTTATAAGAGCTCTAATCTAATCAGTACATTAATCCCCTGATAGGGATTAAATAGGCAGTACTGAAGGCAGGTGGAGACTAGCTAGAGCAGGTGGACCACTGAGTTCATGCCTTTGGGGTTTATGTTTTGACCCTGGCTAGTGGAGTTCTTTCTGCTTCCTGATTGCCAAGTCCTGAGCTTCTTACCTCCTCTACACCCTTCTACCATAGTGTTCTGCCTCACTCAGGCACAGAGCAATGGAGTTGGCCATCTGTGGACTGAAATTTCTGAAGTCATGAGGGCCAAATAAACTTATCCTCCTCTAAAATTGTTCTTGTCTTGGTCACACTGATGAAAAGCTGATTAAAACACAGATCAGTCAGCCTGGGGTAATATCCCTGTCAGAGACCAGTGACAGTAATAATACTGGTGAAAGATTATGATGTTTTTAACAAAGATACAGTAATATTAATAGGGGGAATGACACAAACTGCACTGACCCTGGTCTGATATGTTCTAATGTTGCTTACATCTGAGTTGCATAATCTGTCTACTTATTTGGGCCTCTATTTCTAGTAGGATCTTAGAATTCTGAGTTTCTTCTGCCTTATTTCTGTTGAGGTACCGTAACAGAATACCAAAGTAAGTACAAGATCCATTCTTCCCTCCATACGCAGATTTACAAAAGAAATGGGTCTAAGAAATTTGGCACAATTGTTTGAGCATTCAACCAGATCAAAGATATAAAATGGTAGCAGAAAAGTTAAGAAGCCTCTTTGGAGAGTTGTGACTGTGTTGTGGGAGTCTACTCCCTCTGGGAAATAGGTGAAGATGAGTACCACTTTCTAACCTCAAGTCAGGTAAAGGGTACTCGCAAGGGAACTATAGGAGATATTTGAAATGTGTTTCATGCAGTTTGAAAACCTGAAGACTTAGTGTTGCCCTGACATAAGATAAAAAACTTAAGTGAACTGTACACTGGTAGTTAATTTTGCCCCAGGAAAGCTAGAGGCCAAGAGGATGATGAATTGCTTGTTGGTAGGGATAGGAGAATACTTTTGCTTTAGGACTGGACTTTATTCCCAAACTTATCAGAGAAAAGGGTATAAGCCAGAGGGAAGAGAGCTAGGATGGGTCATCCTGGATTGTGTATTATTAAGTTTCTCCAGATCTCCAAAGAAAGAATTTTCAGTTGTATAGAGATATATAAGAGAGGAATTTTTTAAATTAGAATTGCCTAATATGATATTGGAGACCAGGATACCACCTCCATATGGGAGACAATACAACATCTGTAAACAAGAGTACCAAGAAATCTGGTTGTATAATTCAGTCTGGCTCCAAAGGTCTAAGGGCCAGGAAAGTGAATAGTGTAACAGCTAGTCAAAAGCTGAAATCTGGGAAGCGGGGGGAAGTGGGAGTAGAGCACTGGCATAAATCATGGAGTCTGAAGGACTAAGAACCATCAGTGTCCAATGGCAGGATAACATGACTGTCCCAGTTCAAAAAGAAAGCAAATCACTCTTCCTATGTGTTTTTGTTCTAACCAGACTGTCAACAGACTAAATGTGTCCACCCACTTTGATGAGGAGAGATCATCTTTACTTAATTTATTGTTTCAAATGCTAATCTCTTCTGGAAATCACCTCACAGACAAACCCAGAAATAATTTCTTACCATCTGTGTGGCCATCCCTCAGCTATGTCAAGGCAACACATAAAATTAAACCTTGTGAGTTCTGTCCAATTAAACTATCTGAAGGAGTAAGTAGTTTTCTCCCAAAAGGTGCACAACAGCCTGCTCAGGGACTAAAGAAGGAAAGATGCATCACTCAGGGAACTGCAGGAGCTGGGCCGATCTTTTTGGGAACCTGCAAAGAGTCTTCAAAAGAAAGAGTCTGCATTAATAACTTACCAGGATTAATTAAAGGCCCCCTTCCTTTAGATATAGACAAGGAGATCACTGGGATTTGGAGCCAAGCAAGAAGCTGTCTGTGACCTCTTCTCAGTCCTCCACCTACTAAGGATATGTGTAATGACAGACATAAGAGGGTAGGAAGAAGGGGTACTCAATTTAGTGAAGGCTTTCAGCTTCAGATAGGTGGGGTGTGGTGGGGCAAGGGGTGAGGAATGGAGAAGAAGTAACACTAAATCCAATTCTGAATTTTTACTACATAGTAGTGAATAGTCCTGTTGCAATAGTATTTGTGACCTCAAATGACTTTAACAGCAATGCAACAACAAACTCATAGATCATGGCAGAGCTTTCATCCAGGAAGAGAAAATTTCCACCAATCAATCCCACCCCATCCCCACCAAGAATAATTTAAAGGAACTGTGAGAGAGAAAAAATTAAAGGTTTAATTTTAGATATATCAAAAGGTTTGCTTGTTAAATATATAGATCTAAATTTTTAGTAAATGTTACTCTTTAAAATGGCGTCCTTTGATCTTGTAAGCCCTGTAGAGCTGAGTTAATTCTGTTCCATGATAAGATGGTTAAATAGAAAAGGACAGAATCCTGGGACTGATGCCAGTTGAGGGCAATTAATAACCCCCATTCATACCTGGGGAAGGCAATCTCAGCCCACAAGTTTTCTATTGCTAGAATGTAGCTCTCTACTTCTATAGTCTCAAACTATAAGAGATGTTTTACTACTTTTGCTTTCATAAAAGGAAACACTATAATTAGTGCCTACACACATTATAAAAATTGTTGCCTAGTCTTATTTTGCTTATGTATGTATTTATAATTCCTTGCATGTCTTTGTGAAAGCTTGAAAGGAGAAATTCTCCCAAAGAGCATATATGTCAATTTTTATTTGTAAAGATTCCCCATAGTGGTTGTTAAATATTACTAGGTCTGTTCAGAGTTTGTAAATCTGAGACTTTATTTTTGGGCAAAGGACAACTTTTCTCTTTCTTTGTTAACTGTTCCAAGATTTTAAATTTTAAAATGATATGTTGATGAAATAAACATTACACCATTAAGGAGGAACTTTTAAAATGCAAACCTGAACATGTATTTTAAGTACTAATATAATAAAATTAATTATCTATCCATAATTTTCTATCTTTCTTCCCCATAAGAATAAAATAAATACTGAGCTACAGAGTTGCTGCCAAACTGAGCCCCTTCCCTTGGTCTTAAAAATTCCTAGAGGAGAAAAACATTTTATACAGAGGAGAATAAGATAATCCTTGATTAGTTTGTCCTGTTCCGGAGTCTTTCTTCTTTATGAAATTTCACATCTGGCCAAAAGATGGGGCTCTTGTTCCCAGCACAGAAACTGAAAGTGAAAGAAGAGAAGGTATATTTTTAGGTACTGAGAAACTGTCTACCACAACTGGCAATGGCTTTTGACAAGAAAGTTTCACTTTAGAGGATGAACCAAGTGGCCCTATGACATTCTCTTCCAATTTGACGGCAGACCTCCCAAGATTCAGTTTCTTTATCTGGGAAATCTAGATAGTAACTACTAAGTTCTCATAGAGTCCATGAAGAAGAGCTTAGCACAATGCCTGGAAAACAGTAGGTAGGTGTGTCAAGGGTTAGCTGTCCTCCCTAGAAGCCAGAGCAAATGGTGTTTATGTTGTCTGTTACTTGGTACAGGAGGTGCTCAATAGACAGCAACTGAATGGATGAATGAACATTCAAATCAACTAATAGTGTGAGGTAAATATAGCTTCTAGCCTGAGCCACTTAAGTTTATGAGATCAGTATGACTAACTTGAACCTTGCTCTTCCTCAGCCATGACTCCGTGACTCTGAATAGCTGCCTGGCTGACCTGTCATTTGATTGACATCAAACGCCCTACTTGAGCTTCTAAGGTGGCACTGCAGTCTCCAGCCTGTTTCATCAACTTAGGTTCTCTATCTCCTCTTTATCTTAACTAGATCAAACAATTGAAACTCATATCTAGACTTGGAAGCACAATGAACCTATCAAAAGTGTAAATGAAAATTATTTTATACAGGAATTTGACATCAATAAACCTTAATCTTTAATACATTTGTTTTGTTTTAAAATGTGGTCTTGCTATATTGCTCAGGCAGGATTCTTAACTACCTGGACTCAAGTGATCCTCCTGGCCCATCCTCATGAGTAGCTGGGATTGCCAGTGCATGTCAGAACACCCAGTAATTTAGCCTTTAAATATTTGATTTCAAATGTTTATAATGGTATTAGTACTACAGTAATGATTCCTCAACAGATGCATATAAACAAAGAAATTTCAATATTTAGGGACAATTTTTGAGCAGTTCACTGTTATTTCTAGAAGTTTTAGAGAGTTTCACTCTTTCTAAGGAAATTTTGTACACTTGCCCAAACCCCAACCCTCAAAGTCACTTAAATGTTATGTTTTTCATTCACTGTGAGTTCTGGCACCAATGTCTATGGAGAAACTCTTAATTTTACTTTGTAACTATTGTAACTTTTATTTGAAACAGTTCTCTAAAAATAATACTGCAATTCAGCAATATCTTTGTAGAATTCATATATATATATATATATATATATATATATATATATGTGTGTGTGTGTGTGTATATATACACACATTAGACGATACGAGAAAAAGAAAATGTTAGTACTACTCAACCTTAATTCTCTTATCAAATATGTTGAGATGCTTCTTAATCATTTAGCATTTTTAAAAATACAAACTCTTGGAACCTACAGAATGGGAGCAAATCTTTACCACAAACACATCAGATAGAGCACTAATCTCTAGGATATTAAAGCACTCAAAAACCTTAACACAAAAAAAAAAACAAATAACCCAGTCAATAAATGGGCCAAGGAAACGAACAGACACTTCTCAGAAGAGGATATACAATCAACAAATATACGAAAAAATTTTCAACATCTCTAGCAATTGGAAAAATGCAAATCAAAATTACTCTAACATTTCATCTCACCCCTGTCTGAATGGCAGCTCTCAAGAATACAAACAATAAGTGTTGGTGAGGATGTGGGGGAAAAGGCACATTCATACACTGCTGGTGGGACTGCAAATTTGGTGTAGCCAATCTGGAAAGCAGTATGGAGATTCCATGGAAAACTTGGAATGAAAACACCATTCGACCCAGCTATTCCACTTCTCAGTTTATACCCAAAGGATTTAAAAACAGCATACTACAGGGACACAGTTACAATTATAGCAGCACAATTCACAATAGCTAAACTGTGGAACCAACTCAGATGCCCTTCAGTAGATGAATGGATAGGAAACTTTGGTATATATACACAATGGAATGTTACTCAGCATTAAAGAGTATGAAATCATGGCATTTGCAGGTAAATGGATGGAGTTAGAGAATATAATGATAAGTGAAGCAAGCCAATCCCAAAAAACCAAAGGCCAAATGTTTTCTTTGGTGAGGATGCAGACTCATAATGGTGATGGGGAGGAAGCATGGGAGGAATGGAGGAACTTTAGATAGGCCAAAGAGGAGGAAGGGGAATGAAGGATACATGGGGGTAGAAAAGATGGGTGGAATGAGGTAGACATTATTATCCAAAGTAAATGAAGATACAAATGGTGTGAAAATACTTTGTGTACAACCAGTGACTTGAAAACTTGTGGTCTATATGTGTAATATGAAATGAATTGCATTCTGCCATCATATATAACAAATTAAATAAATAAATAATTCAATAAAATATGGCCATGTTACCAAAAGCGCTATACAGATTTAATGCAATTCCTATTAAATTTCCAATGACATTCATCATAGAAATAGAAAAGGCAGTCATGAAATTCATTTCATGAAAAATAAGAGGCCCAGAATAGCCAAAGCAATCCTTAGCAAGAAGAGTGAATCAGGAGGCATCACAATACCAGACCTTAAATTATACCACAGAGATATAGTAACAAAAACAGCATGGTGTTGGCACCAAAACAGACATGAAGATCAATGGCATAGACTAGAAGACACAAGACAAATCTGCATAAATACAGTTATCTCCTACTAGACAAAGACGTGGGAAACATTGAGAAAAGATAGCCTCCTCAACAAATAGTGCTAGGAGAACTTGAAATCCATAGGTAGCAAAATGAAATTTAACTCTTATCTCTCACCCTGCACAAAATTCAACTAAAAGTGGATCAAAGACCTAGATATTAGATTAGAAACTCTGTACCTACTAGAAGAAAATGTAGGCCTAACACTCCAACATGTCAGGTTAGGAATCAACTTCCTCAACAAGACCCTAAAGTTCTAGAAGTAAAATAAATATCAATAAATGGGATGGTATCAAACAAGAAAGCTTTTTCACAGCAAAGGAAACAATCAAGAGTGTGAAGAGAGAGCCTATAGAATGGGAAAAAATCTTTGCCACCTGCACCTCAGATAAAGGGTTAATTTCTATGATATACAAAGAACTCAAAAAGCTTAACACCAAAAAACAAAAACAACAACAATAAAAAAACCCAATCAACAAATGGGCAAAGAAACTAAAAAGACACTTCTAAAAAGAAGATATACAAATGGTGAACAAATTAATGAAAAAAAAAATATTCAACATCTCTAGCAAGTAGAGAAATGCAAATTAAAACTACACTGAGATTTCACCTTACTCCAGTCAGAATGGGAATTATCAAGAATACAAGTAACAATAAATGTTGACAAGCATGTGGGGGAAACATTGCTGGTGCCCTTCCACTAATGAATGGATAAAGACAATGTGATATATATGCACAATGGAATATTACTCAGCCATAAATAAGAATGACTTTATGACATTTGCCAGTAAATGGAAAGATCTGGAGACTAAGTGAAATAAGACAATCTAAGTGAAATAAGCCAATCCCCCAAAATCAAAGGTAGCATGGTCTCCCTAATACGTATAAACTAACCCACAACAAGGGAGGAGAGAGTAAGAGTAGAAGTTCAATGGATTAAACACCTGGGAATGAAAGGAAGGGGAGATAGGAATAGGAAAAACTGTGGAATGAATCTGACATAACTTTCCTATGTACATATATGAATACACCACAGTGAATCTCAACATCCTGTACATCCAAAAGTCTGGGATTCTAATTAGAAAAATATATACTCCATGTTTGTAAAAATAGACTATACTGTCGTATACAACTAAAAAGAAAAAATGATAACAAAAAAAAGAGGAATTTTAAGGCTGAAGGAGACCACAGAGGTAAAAGTCCACACCATCATTTACAGATGAGGAAATAGGAAACTGAAGAATTGAGTCCTGTAATCTGCTCCTATCACACACACAACTGGCAGAAGCAGAGGGTTCCAATTCCACCATCCAGAGCCATTACTGCCTTAAGTCTCACATTAGGGGCAGAAGGCGATTTCACCTAACTTCTTTCCATAAACATAAGAAGTGACAGAAGGAAGAGGGGTAGAGAGAAAAGGTGTCATGTGGAAGGAAGAAAATGAGGGTAATACTTGTGCCATTGTGGCTGTTATGATCAGAGGCTTACAAGAATGGTAAATAAAGACAATCACAAATCTGGACTTAAAGGAGAAATTTAGATGCCTACATCTTCCCCATTAAATACACAGATCAGTCCGAGCTTAGGACAGAGTAAAATAATGATCAATAGGCTTTTGGGTCAATTAGGTAAAAAAATATTCCATATTAATCTATGACAATAAAGAAAAACAAGGGCAGACAGAAGATTATAAAACAAAAATATAGGTCTTACCAGTCTCAAAAAAGTAGTAAAGAATCATAGCCAACCCGACTCCTGCAGTGAGTCCAAACCAATACCTATTGAATCAGTCCAACAGTGACCTGTATAAAATATGAGAACATCAGGTTTTTTTTTTTTCAGTAATTCTGGTTCATCAAGTACTATTTCCTACCTGCCATAGTGTAGTAGTTTTACCCTGATAGTACAAAGATGTTTACAAGCCGATATTTCCTTAATTAAAAAACACCTTCTTCAATAGCTAAATGCTCCTCTGATAGCTTTTAAGGGGAAAAAAGAAGCACTACCAGATTAAATGTATATGTCTATTAAAGAGGAATCTACTTTCCAAATGTCAAAATATGGGGGCTGGGAGAGGAACTCAGTGGGAGGGTGCTTGTTTAGCATACTTGAGGCCCTAAGGTCCATTCCCAGCACAGGGGATGGGAATTGTGTGATTTTAGAAAGCAGACATTAAAGGAACAATCCTTTGATCCACATAGCGATCAGTTTGTTAAATAGAGAAAGGGTTGATTTTTTAAAACTATATACTCAAAAAATAAATTAAAATCAAGTTTTATAGTATTCCAGGACCCGTTAATATAAATTGGTGTAATATTACTTGGGGGAAAAAGTGAAATATATTTCATATGTTTTGGTGCTTAGCAGCCATTCCCCTTTTTCCTTTTTTTTTTTTTTTTGGTGTGGAGACTCCTCTCTTTCAGTCCATGTGGCTCCAGAGGCATCTACTCCCATGCAGATATAGGAAAAGCATGTGATTCAGGGCTGATTAACCAAAGTCTTGCATTTACTTGGCCCTAGAGACTTTTTTTTTTTTTGGTGGTGATGGCCTGTGATGTCATCAGAATCAAGGAAACTTGTGGCCAGAGGTGAGTACACTTCCCAAGGGACGAGTATGGACTCAGCTCTGTGAGGAGGTGAGACCTGGCAAACTCATCTTTGACCACATTGGTTTTGAAACTGAGACCAATACAACAGAAAACTGGGATGGAGAAGAACCAAGTACTGATGTTGTTGATTGGCCCTGAACCTATCTATACCTAGAGCTAGCCCTATTTCTAGACTTACATGAGCAAACAAATCCTCCATTTTGCTTAAGAAAAAAAAAACTGTTGAAATAAATCACTGAGAAAAATATTTTTGTATAAAAAATTTAATTGCATAGGTTGGAAGGAGCAAATGTTCTGGAGAGAGAAGTGCAGATTTATAAGATGTATGGTAAAGAATTTGGGTTTGTGCTGGTCTTCACTCTTAGTCCTACATCTTTCAGGGAGACTTGGATCAAATTGGGTAGTCTAACAACATGATTTATAGTGAGGACTAACCACACCCATAAAATCTTAGGTCAGGAGATGGCCAATCCCAAAGATCGACACTTTGGGTCACTTGGTATCAGTAGTTCTGAAATTAATAGAAGTATGCAATGACCAATCAGTCATACCTATGTGATGAAACTCTCCCCAAAATTTTGGACAACAAGTTCAGGTGAACTTTGCTGATTGGCAGTACTCTGTGCATATTGTTACATATGGATGTCAGATCAGTGATATGTCAACTCCATGGCTAGAACACAACTGCAACTCCACATTTGAAATCTTCCTGGTGTCCCTTCCTTTGGCTGAAATTATGTATGTATCCATTCCCTTCACTGAACCATCATTGTGAGTACGACAGACTTCAGTGAGTTTTGTATTTCTGGCAAATTATTAATCCTGAGGCAGGTTAGGAACCTTCAAACTCACAGCTGGTGTCAGAAATAAGAATGGGGACTCTGTTTCTAACTTTGTAGTTGGCCCAACTTCTACAGAGTGTTTCCAGGTTTGTTTGAGTGAAACAAGTTGACTGACACTTTGAAAGTACCTGGCTACAGTAACAAAGGTGCAGGATGGAAGTTATGCTGATTTAGTAATCTTTAAACAAAGGCCAACCTGTCTTTAAAGATCAGTGACATTTCTAATGTGTATTACCACGTAATAAAACAACCTTTCTTACAGTTTTACTGACTTCTTCCTTAACAAAAAAACTTAAAAAAAATGGTGGGGGGTGGCAATATTAATTTCAAGTGTCAATTAATCTCACAAATTTAAGTCAGGATGGCAACAGGAAAAAAAAATGTTGAGTGGCATTCTGATTTACTTTGCATGAAGTTCAAAATAAGGAACACTGATCTATGTTTATGAAAGTCAGAATACTGCCTATTTTGGGGTGGCCGGAGTTGGGGGTACAGATTTGGATGGCGACAAGGAAGGGCCATGGGGGTTATAATGGAGTGTTGGGAATGTTCCAATTCCTGATTTGGGTGATGGTTATTTGAGACAGTGTACAGCACTGTTCACTTATGACTTCTACACTTTGGTGTATGTCAATTTTGAAAAGCTATATCTCAGTTTTTTTTAAAAAAATCAAGTCCTTGGGCACATAATATAAAAAAAAAAAACAGTGTAAAAGAAACTTACTTAACAAACACTCAGGAGCTATTATGTGTCAGGCATTCTGGTAGTACTGTGGATACAACATAAAGCAAAAAGAGAAATGAAACCTGCTTATAGACTACATTGATTTAGCCATTAAATTACCTCCAGTAACAACTTGGAATTTAAAATTCAACATGCCTTTATTATCTAGAAATAATTCCTACAAATAAACTCATGACTTTACATATGAAATTTTTATAAATTAATTCCCTGTATTCTTATGTTCCTAATTCAACTTTTACTTTTTCTAAAAAGGCTTTTAATTTCCTGCAGTTAACAGTGGCCTATCTTTAATTTGGACTCCTTTTGAATTCAAAAAATAGCATCACACAACTCAGCACTTAATTGTTCCTTAATAGTATCGTGAGCATTAAATTTTTCTACCACTTTCTGTAAGTTCCTCTAAGTTCCTTAAGAAAGGAGATTGTATATTTTCTTTGAAATGTTTCACAATGTTTAGCAGTCTGTGGGTTATGTGATATATGTTTAATTAGTTGTGAGCAGTGTGAATGAAAACTTCACTTGGCCATATTAAACATGCTTAAGAATAGTTTAAACTTCAGGAAAAATTGGTCCTTAAAATAATTAATGTCCAGCATTTTATTTTGCCATTTTCTGTTGGCTCATTTTTCATGTTTAAAAGAGATAAAAGTTATTCTTGGCATTCTTTTCTGTCCCCTAAGTTTCAGTTTTCATAGGAATTGAAAAGTGACTACAATTATCTGTTTGCTTTAAGTATGTTTGCTTTAACTGAGAAGGAGAAATGTTCTAAGTGAAACAATTGTCTCCAAGTATCTCTTAAAGTGATAGAGCACCTGCTTTTTAATTAAGTACATCCGTCCCTTGGTATCTGTGGAGGATTGGTTCCACAATCAATAAAAAAATTGATAACAAAATCTGTGGATGCTCAATTCCCTTGTATAAATGGCACAGTATTTACATATAACCTATGCCCATCTTCCTGTATTCTTTAAATCATTTCTAGGTCACTTATACCTAATACTATGTAAATGCAATGCGAATTATTGTCACACTGTGTGTTTAGAGAATAATGACAATGATAACCAGTCTGCACATATAGTTTTTGGAATATTTTTGTTTTGCTATTGATTTAATCTATAAATGTGGAAACCACAACTATAAAGGGCCAAGTGTATTGTATTAGCTGACTACAATAAGAACTACATTTCCCATCATTCCTTGCAACTAAGTGTGATCATATGATTAAAGTCTGATAAATAGACTGTAAGTATTGGTTTAAACACTAATCAGTGCCTCAGAAAGCTTGTAGTGAGATAAGACGTTCTCTAAAAATAAATGTGGTACTGAGGGAAAGAGAGAGGGGGAGCAGACCACACCCCTTGTTACCTGAAGACAGAAAGCTGGGTTGTAAAGGAATATACTCATAAAATATCTGAAGAAAGCCACCTGCACAGCAGGCATGTAACCTATCCCATATATTCCTCCAGTATGCAGGCATGGCACAGCCGTCCATTGTATCCTGGCTCAATGCCGCCAAGGAGTAAATAAATAATAAAATGTCCAAAACCTCTCCATTGAGTCCTCCAAGTTCTCTCTTTGAGATTGGAAAACAGTATGCTAGGCCTTTACAGCCCTGGGATTGAAGAGTAAGTCATAGGTATACTTTCAACTTTTGTTCTCAAAGCATGTTGTTTGTTTGTTTGTTTTCCTCCTTTTCCTTTTGGACTTCTACTTGGAATAAGGTCATGGTTGTAAGTTGACTATAATGTGAAAACAACACCCTAGAAATCGCAGGGTAACCAGAGAAGGTGCCTGGATCCCTAGGTGACAAAATGGAGACTGTGAGTTTATCATTTCAGTATTATACATCACTAATTTGTTATATGAGAAGAAAATTCTCTTGTTTAAGCTGTTATCTTAGATCTCATTATACAGCCTAACAAATTTCTAACATCCATTGGGGGAGTTATGAGATGGCAATCATTGGCAAGAAATGGTCCTTTATTTCCTAAACAATGCTTTATGGAATAAATATGTTTCAGACCCAAACTTTGGTAGATTATTTATGTACATAAGAAATCCAAGTTTCTTTTGTTTTGAACTAGGAATTGAACCTGGGGCACTTAACCACTGAGCCACATCCCCAACACTTTTTATTTATTTATTTTTTTATTTTGAGACAGGGCCACACTAAGTTGCTGAGACTGGCTTTGAACTTGTGGTCTTCCTGTCTCAGCCTTCCAAGCTGCTAGGATTACAGGTGTGTACCACTGTGCCTGGCTCCAAGTTTGATATTAAAAGACTAATAAAAATGATCAATTTTAAAGTTAATTATCCCCAATCTTCTTTCCTTCAACAAGTACCATTTACACACACAGACACATATTCACATGCATACTCACACTTACGGCATATCATCTGGCTTTGGGGCCACCAATTGGATACAAATTTATTTATTTATTTATTTATTTAATTTTATTTTGAGAGAGAGAGAAAGTTTTTAATATTTATTTTTTAGTTTTCGGCGGACACAATATCTTTGTTTGTATGTGGTGCTGAGGATCGAACCCGGGCTGCACGCATGCCAGGCGAGCGCGCTACTGCTTGAGCCACATCCCTAACCCCTG